ACTGCCATAGCTGATCCGACCCAAAAGTCAGCGTGGCCCAGAAAAGGACAAACCCTCAACACCAAGGATTTCAATAGGAGTGCCTAACGACGCCCGTAGACAAACAAAGTAGGTCAGAATTAATGTTGATTTAATCTTGATTTCAGGATCTCTGCTGTAACAGTTTTGAAATTAGCCCCTCTCCAAACGATGGCCCGCCCATGCGCTTACAGCAGGTGACAGAAGTGCTTGATACGAACTACCACGCCTGTTTTATTGAATTTATTCCCTTTTTAAAGTCTGTGTGGGACTGACATGCAGGTGTGTTTTCTTTGCCTATTCGCGGTGTCTGTAGTTGGCTCTTTCTTCCTTCATGCAAAAAAACACACACACACTAAATGCCTTTTTTTTTCCTTTTCAAACAGTCCCCAGGAGCCTTGACCCACTACGTCCTATTTACGCTTCTGCTCCTCCGTTTTCAACCACGTGCGGCCATCCATGACCTCCGTCAGTTGTTGATCATTTCGTGTATCCACTGCTAGTGTGGATTGTCTTTGTTCTCATGGATGCAGCTGCCCATCGGCCAGTAGATTTTTTTTTTAATTCATTTGTTGGCCATTTAGTTGGCTACTTTGCGTTGGAGCGAATCTTCAATACTATGGTTCTTTTAGGGGGGGGGGGGCGGGTTGAAGCTTCCCGCCTTGCTATTATTTTTTTGCAGAAATTGAAAATATTGAGGTTTCCGTGGAAGACTGCGAACAGGTCGGCAGGAAGGTCGCATGCAGATGTACCAGGTTGGTGGAAGTGTCGATGCGTAGCCTGTACTGTCATGATGTTGATGTCAGGTCCCATGATTTTTTGTTTTTCGGGTCCTTTTCTTTGCTACTGCCTTAATGAAAGATAGCATTGTTTATGCGTTCTTAAATGAGAAAAGAACGCCACACACCGCTTTAAATGATGCTAGTGGGTAGAGGCCCTAGGTGACCAGGTCTGCTGGAGGTGCTGATATGAGCAGACACCTCTAGCAGCCCTGTGGCTGGCTCCAAGAGGCTCCAATCTTTTGGCGGGGAGCTTCACCTGCTGGAAACCGGGTCCAGTGTGGCAGTGTCCCTTACAGTAAGCATAACTAGAGGTGCAGGACAGTGTGGACTGTATGGAAATATATAGGCTGAAGGGTCATCTGCCTCTTCAACCTAAGTTGGTAGCCTGCTCTATCGGATTCTTGCCATGCTACCAGCCTACCAGAACCAGACCCTTCATAACTACTGAGGACAGTGAGGAGTCCCAAGTTCCCAACCAATTCAGTTCCACCAGCGAGTTCTCAGGCAGTGGCCCGGTGGGAAAGAGTCTTGAAACTCTTCCGGCCCTCCTCCGGGGCCTTCAAACTTCAAAGGAATCTGGGAATCCGATCTATTTGGAGCCAAACATGGAAGCTGAGGTTGTAGTCCTCCTTGTGAAAGGACTCTCCTATTCCCTCCCCCGGCCAATCCACACTGAGGTGACTGAGCCATGGATTCCCCCCTTTCTTCCCCCAGCACTGCATTGCCAAATTTGGGAATTTCGTTCAAGATGTCCTTTTTCTGTGTGAAAAATTGCAGCTTTTCCTGGGTGTGCTTCCACTGGGGTAGCAATTCTGACTGAATAAACTGACGGCCTGTTTCCGAGAACTACCCCCTCTCAACTGGGACCTCTCCCATTACATGCAGTGCCACGCAGAGTGACGCAGTGCTTCCACCAAAGACCCCACAAAACTGCCTTGAAGTTCTTTCCTAACGAGAAGAGAGTCTTTGCAAAAGAGGCAGGCCGAGCCGGCTGCCAGTCTCCTAGGAGAAGAAGCGTCCTCCACTCCCAGCGCCAGTCACATCTGTTTCCCAGCTGCCTCCAGACCCCTTCCCAATGTTCCCACTAGAGCACGCAAGGACCGAACCTGGGCATTGCAAGAAAATGTGTTCTACGGTCTCTCGCATCCTGGCATGATCCTGCTACTGGGAAAGCCGAGCCCGCATGGCAACCTTTGCAGCACGGGAGGGCAAGACCTTTTTTTCCAGGTTTGAGTGGTCCATCAGCCAGTCGTTGGTGGGTAGGCAGCGGTGAATGATCTGCCATTGCAGAGAAGCAAACTTGGTCGGGCGGATTTGTCGTGGGATTCGCGGCGGCAGTTTGGAATGTGCGAAAAAAGCAAAAAAATCCAAAAAATAGCCGGTTTTTTTTTTTTTTTGTCGTTTTTGAACTCTGGCCCTCCGCAGAGACCACACTCCACGGTCCATTGTCTACATACGGGGACCTTTGTAGACCACCAGGACCTGTGGACAATGGACATAGCACCTACACGGGCCAGGTTCCATTAGCAACATAGAGTTTCCTCAATGCCCGTATCTGGACTTGTTTGTGGAGATGTGGTGTTGAGAAAATATAACGCCATTTCTGCAGGTCTCCACCAACACATGATCCAGATTCGGGCGTTGAGAGAACTCAACACTGCTGGTGGCAGTGGTGGGGCCATGTGGAGCCGACGTACAGAGGGTGCAGGCTAATTTGAAACTGTGCCCGAATTTGTCCCGTGCGGACACACACACACACACGCACACGCACACGCACACACACACACACACACACACACACAGAGCCTCGTCCAGCAGATGGACATTCCCACAGACTTCTTCACAAAACCCACGGCCTGTTTCACAAAGCTATGCAGATAATCGCAGGGTGCAGGCCATTCCACAGAACTCACCAAATGCAGAGCAGTCTAGATGCTAAGTCCGCAAACTCACCAAATGCAGACGGGTCTGGATGCCAAGTAGGTATAATGTCAGATGGTAAGTTGGAAAGTTAGTGTTTTGGGTGAGTGGTGATTTTTTTCAATGCTTTTTTTTAACATCTGCTGGTGGTGCCATCAGAGGTAATAAGAGCATCCTCCCCCCATATGGCTCCTTTCTGAGGCTTTCTCTTGGTACTGAGCTTAAAAAAAAGCCGTTAGGGTTTACTGTGGTGCTGCATGGGGCGCTTTCAGTGAGGTCTGATTTCTGGGAGGTGAGACCTCAGTCACCTCGCCACCAGTTTTTCTTTTTTGGTGGGTGGTGTCACTGGTGTGACAAGGCCCAGACTCCAGAGTAGGTCCCTGGTCGGGCAGCAAATTAACCAACATTGGTCCATTCTCCATATCAAGGGAAAGAATGCTGGTTCTTGGGTTTGTGGAATGCAGGTGGAAGCTTCCTTCTTGTTTTTTCTTTAAAAGAGAATTCCACCCGGGACAACAGATAGGAGTGATCAGTGATGACAAGAGCATGAACTCCTACCCCTGTCTTGCAGGGGGCTTCAGTCTATACGCGCTGGGAACCGGGCCCAGGGTCGCTGAAGATGATGATGATGATGATGATGATGATGATGATGATGATGCTATGAAGATCTGTAGACAGCCATGAGCTGCTTCAGCAAAACCTGGCCTCGCATCTGTGAGCAACTCTGGCCTCTCCTTGACGAGGAAGGGGCAGAGAAGGAACAGAGGCGCAGGCGGTAGCTGGAGCTTCTGAGAAGGAGAAAGGAAGGAACCACAAGTGCAGAACTACCCCCCCCTTCCCCCCTGGCCGCCCACACGGAGCACCAGACGATGGTCAGGAACAAAGAACCCCAGCAAGTTCGACTTTACCGAAGATGAGCCCGTGCCTACGTCCACATCTACAGATCGACCAAGCTCTGTGTGTGTGTGTGTGTGTGTGTGTGTGTGTGTGTGTGTGTGTGTGTGTGTGAGAGAGAGAGAGAGAGAGAGAGAGAGAGAGAGAGAGAG